TTTTGTATACACCTGCTAGCTGTATTCTAGAAAATTCCTTAATAAATACTAATAAAAATCCAAATGGGTGGTTTCTACAGATTTTAAAATGCTTTTAATAGCAAGTCCGTCATGTTTTTCTAATCGGGACATTATGCTTATTGAACGCATGTTTTGAGAACCTTTAAGGCAAAAAATATGTTCACTATAAAATTAATTTCCTGTCATAAGTTTTGCCACTAAAAATTGTCATTGGCAAGCTGTAACGTAGGCCATATTTATGCGTAATCAAAATGTGTGCGAGAAGCGGGAAGTGCTGTGAACAATCCCATTTCCTGTGTGAAGGGGATTTGTAGTATTTTATATAAATTTATGAAGAAAAGTTTTTTAATCTAGCCCCAGTTGTTCAGGAAAAATAGGGTTTAGTTAAGACAAATTGATACAAATTGCTGTGCAAAGTATGGATGACCATTGATTCTTCCGTGTAAGAGATATTTGAGGATAAGTAGTGTCACGAACTTTTGACCGCACTATAATTTACTTTACTTTACTTTACTTTTCTTTTCCGATCCAGCGGCCATTCGGTGGGTTCTAGCTCTTCGGCCTGTCGATATAATGGCAAAGAATTTAATTTACAGGTTTTCATCAGCTGTGTTTTGTCGCTGTATAAGTCAAGAGTCTTCTTGGAAACTCCACAAAACGACCCGAGTTCAAGAACGCCCAATCTGGGATTCGAACCAGGGGCCATCTGCTCCGTCGTCCAGCATGATTAAAAACTTCTCAGCTAATAGAGCACTCAAGGGGTCTCTTAGCAAGACAAACTATAATGAATGTGTCACGACGCGGTGGAATCAGGCGCTCGTCAATTGCTGGGCATGTGGAGTTATTAGTACCTTCTTAAAACTTGTTAATGTGTCTATCTTTCTATGAAAAAAGTACTCTTGTGTCTTGAAAACAAATCGATGTATTTGCGATTGAAGGAGGTGGGGGTCACCTGAATTCAGAGGCAAAATTAGTTAGAAAATTGCCACTAAAATTTGATGACTTCCAAAGCTTGAGAGTCCTTGGAAACTGAACATTTACATTTTTCGCGCCTCAAATTACCGTTTTTCAGAAATATCAATACAGAAATGTGTTTTTAAAAGGAGAAAAACGGTGTTGAGCCAAAAAACAAAATTTCGATAAAAATTGCCAAACTGTCGGAAAATTGCCAATATCTTCAATTTCATCATTTTGACAAGCGCCTGATTTGACCACGGTGCCTCCCATTTACCGTTTCCTCTATGGGCAACGCTCAAGTGGTATGACGACGCCATTTTAGGTCCTACTTCATTCTTTCTCTCCGCGTTGGGTAATCATTTGATTGATCACACTCTGTCCACCCCCCCCACCCCCGAAAGACCAATATTGTGTCACCGTCTCTTTGCCCTCACTCACAGTAAACCTGCCCACAGCGTGTCATAAATCAGACTGTTTGGAAATTGGAAAAGCTTTCATCGACGTCGATAACTTTACTCCTGACTAA